TAATCTTCAAATCGAATGTGCCAGCTGTCGTTACAGTTCTCGTGTAATCGTTAAATTTGTAAAATTGTCGATTATTGGCGAAATAAATATAACCATCAATGTAACGATATGCTAGTGTCATATCTGATGGTATTCCTGGAAATATCATTTGTAAAGTGTGATATTTAATAACAGTCATTCGCTTATCTCGGCTATAGTTTGACCGTTGAAGATCACATATGTTCGTCCCTTGTTGGTATTTATTGCAGCATTGATTATCGCGGTTGTTGGAAGTCCTATGTCCTTGAAAGTTCTTGGCCAACCCGCGCTTAATGTAAAACTAGGATAATCGACCATGTAAATTCGATCTTTAATAAATAATACGATCTCACCTGAGGGTCTTTGATATGCGGCTGACAGAGTAAAATTTTTTTCTGGAAGAAAATTCATATAGTCGTGTATTAATAGTGGTCCGTTATTGAATGTTCTGTCATTTATACTGAACGTCCAAACGTAATGTTGATATGTCACGAATATTCGATGATCTAATACTAGTATGTTGTCAATATATTTCAAATCGCACAGATCCACATAATCGGGCTTTGTTGTTGTTGTTGTTGTTGTTGTGGGAGTCATTTCTGTAGTCGTCATTGGTACGGATTCCGTTTTTGGGGAATTATTCTTAACTCCGTATAAATGTTGAATTGCTAATATATCTTCTATGTTTAACTCTCCGGGATACTGTGAGGTTGCATATGCAAACATTATCGAATCGTTGCGCGGACTATGATGTAATCCTAAAGCATGACCGATCTCGTGTGTCAATATTGTAGGAAGCGAATATTCTAGACGGCATCGCGACACGATATTGTAACGAAGCGAGAAAAAGAAAAGCGAGCGAAAAGACGAACTTCTTTTGTCACCGAGCGCTCGGGCCGAGATGCGAGCGCGACTCACGGGAGTTGAGTTCGGTTGACGACAGGCGAGTCGAACGGACGCGACGTGTTCTTGTATCACTTTATTTTAATATACATATCTTCTACCA